CTCAGCTTATGTAACCTACTGAAGTCAGGTGAATGACTTGTGATATATTCTATCCCACTAGGAATTAAAACTGCTGTATAAAACCTTAGGTAAATGGACAATTAGTGGCAGTGTGTTGGCTGTTGCTTCAATAATTAACCCAATTACCTTTCACTTTTTCTTTAATGATGAAAGTGAGCATGTTAACAAGCTGGTTTAGTTGCCTTAGTTGCCTTGGAAACAGTGTTCCAAGCAGTTGCTCAGACTTCCTAGCAATATTGGGTTGATGTTTCTCTTTCATTCCCCTTTTAAGTAATGTTTTTCCCTTGCTCTGAATAGGTGATTTTTTTTCTTTATGATCTCCAGTATCCTTCAGCTCACAGACAGCTCATCTGGTATTGGTATATTAGTCAATGCAGGGGCTTTTTTAGTATATTACTTATGCAGGGGCTTTTTTGGCTAAACTTTGAATGTACTGGATGTACTTAATTATTGAATGCCACATGTGCAAAACAACAGCAACACTTAACTATATCATTAATGCTCTGACCTGGACAGACCAGGCTAGCCTGATCTTATTAGATCTCAGAAGCTAAGCAGGTCAGCTCTGGTTAGTACTTGAATGTGAGATCACCAAGGAAGTCTAGGCTTGCTACGCAGAGGTGGTTGTTGTTCAGTCGCACAGTTGAGTCCGACTCTTCGCGACCCCATGGACCACATCATCCCAGGCCCTCCTGCCGCTACGCAGAGGTAGACAATGGCAAACCACTTCTGAACATCTCTTTCCTTGGAAACCCATAAGTTGGCAGCGACTCAGTGGCAGAAAAAAATTGATTACAACAAATATTCCAGATCCCTCATTTATTCCTGCTCTCCTTTCTGCATGTCCCAGATCACTGTTCTGAAGTAATCTTCTTGGGAGTTCTACCATGTAATATGACTAGGACATTATGAAATCAGCAAAACAACAACCAAAAACTCAAGCATAGATTTTATAACCGAGTATATGATGCAAAGCTGATCAAACTGGTTTTAAAGTACAGCTTTGCTGCAAGTGAAATCATGATGTGAAGCTATAATTTTGCTTCTTCAAATTACCCCTTCTGAGTGGTAAACACATGGTAACTATAGTGGCTTTTTGAACCTCTTATTCTGTTGTCTTTATGATAGAAAATTATTGTAGAACATGGAAGAGATGCTGTAGTTTGGTAGTGTGCGTATCTTCCATTATCTTTTTTGTTTGGAGGAAGAGTTGCCAAGGAACTGCATAACCAAATCTCCTTCTGTTTTGTGGATAACCACAGATGTAATGTTTAAAGGTCACTTGGATGAATGCATAAACTTGCAGTTTCCATGGACTGTATTATAGCAAAACCAATTTTGTCAAGAGCCGTGTGTGGTAGATCTACAATGTACCACGAGGATTCCTGGTAGACAATAAGTGGCTAAGCAACAGAATGGATTTGGTTTTTTTTAAGGTGATACGTATTTTTCTGTCAAGCAGGAATTCTTGTTTTTCTTCTGTGCTTTTCCAACATGGCACCTGTGTGGACTAGAAACTTGAACTTGGCTAGTGTCCCAGCTCTGCTCTCCTGGTCTTCATTTTGGTCTGTGCATGCTGGGGATTTTTATGCAGTGACATGGAGGGTGGTCTGAACTCTGAACAGCGTTGTTGTAATATTCACTGGAACTGAGCCATGAGATGTCTAGGCTTTTGGAAATGTTCATAGTATCTCTGTTATGTGGGAGGAGATATTATTTGACAGCATGTCTCTATCACTGTAAAGAAGAAGGTGTTAGGAATGATTACCATTCTCCAAACAGAAAGTTAATTACCACCATCATGTTGGAAAAGATACTGGCATCATGATTACATTGCTAAATGCTGATACAAGGACTTAATTGCACTGGTTTTTCAGCCTGTATGAATGCAAGCCCAGGGTCCATGTTCACTTTTTCAGAACCCTATTACTTGAAGTAGAGAGAGATTCAGTCTGAAGATCTAAACTGGGTTTTGTCTGTAGATATGGCTGAATTGCTGCATGCAGTTACCATGAGTGATTGATCTCTCTAAATGCGGATAGCCTGCTCTTGGAGCTATTTCAGTTAATTATTTTAATTACAGGCTCAAAGTTCGCAAAAAAGGTATGATGACTGTCATGTCTGCTGTCTTCGCAGAAGCTGGAGACTGAATGGTTAGCTGCTTATGTGGAAATAAATACCTTAAAGAGTCAGCAAACGTTTAGTGATGCAGCTTTTTGTTGTATACTGCTATTTCAGCCATTTGGGTCAGAACTTTCTTCCAAGTTCTTTTCACTTGTGTTCTTGGTTGGGAACGTAATATCTTGGAGGGTAAAACTTAACCACTGAAACAATTTAAAACCATTGGTATATCGATGGTGGCATAATATAATAAAATGCATTTAAACACATTCAGCGGTGCAACCACTTTAAATAGCTTCAACTAGACATAGATTGGCTCAGGGCCTAGCTAATCAGGGCAGCTCCTACTGGAATGCCTGTCGGAAAAGCTCCGTTTTCACGGCCCTGCAGAATTGTGAGAGGTCCTGCAGGGCCCTGATCTCTCCAGGGAGCTCATTCCAGTAAGTTGGTGCCGTCAAGGAAAACGCCCTAGTCCTAGTCGATGTCAGCCTGGCGTCCTTAGGGCCAGGCGGTATTGTGTTCCTGATTGCAGTGCTCTCTGAGGAACATGCGGGGAAAGGCAGGCTCCTGACCATAAAGGGATTTAAAGGTCAAAACCAGCACCTTGAAACTAATCCGGAACGCTATTGGCAGCCAGTTCAGTGAC